CTTGGAGTTTGCCCCTGGCAAAGTGAAGGCCTTTTTGCACCCGAGTCCGGGCTACGTGCCTAAAGTACCAACTCATACGGCTCGATCTACAGTCCTTCAGGCATTTCATCCTCCACCTCATGTGTCGGCAGAAGAAGAGAAGCTCTATTTGCTCTGCCCTGTCAGAGCCTTGAGCGTGTACCTCGAGAGGTCCTCTTCTTGGAGAAGGTCGGACCAATTATTGGTGTGTTTTGGGTCACCTAAGAAGGGGCTCCCGGCATCAAAGCAAACGATTAGTAATTGGATCGTTCAGGCGATTACTTCAGCTTACAGGGTGCGCGATATGCCTTCACCTTTAGCTGTTAGGGCTCATTCAACTAGAGGTATGGCTTCCTCTAGGGCCCTCCTTTCGGGAGTGCCCCTGCAGGAGATCTGTGAGGCAGCCGGCTGGGCTACTCCACACACTTTTATTCGGTTCTACAGTCTTCACCTTCCCAGTACGCCTGGCGCACATGTACTTAGTCCTTGCTGAGTGCCTGAAACAGTTTCACTCCGGGACAGGCCTATTCGGTGCGTGGCCTAGTGGGCACTCGTTCCCCAAAGGTCGATTCTCGACGCAGTGTAGAGTTCCCTCGAAAGGGAACGTCTCGGGTTATGACTATAACCCTTGTTCCCTGAGAAGGGAACGAGACACTGCGTCGTTCTGCCACGCCCCTTGAGGTCTTAGAGCGTCTTGCTTCATCGCGAGGCTGGTATGTGTGTGCGTCAGTGTCACTTTTATACTTCCGGTTATGCCGTCACATGTTACGTCAGGACGCAACGCCAATCAGGATTGGATTAGTTTCATTTTTACTTCAGAGGTGCACGCTAAGGTAGCGTCCCCAAAGGTCGATTCTCGACGCAGTGTCTCGTTCCCTTCTCAGGGAACAAGGGTTATAGTCATAACCCGAGACGTTTTCTCTAGCACACATTTCCAACACGATTTCATTGCATTTTACAAAATGTCCTAACTTTTTTGGAAATGGGGTTGTATATGCATTACCATTCAAAATTCGGGGTTGATAAATTTGTTCTGAAATATATTTTAATGAATACCTGGTTAGAAATGCTTCAAAATTGCTTTATGATGTACATCACCTGAACTGTTAATAGTATTGGACAAAAGCTATAGATTGTTTATTTTAAATAAAAAATGTCCCATTCATTCACAGCTATGTTTTGCAAGTTAACAACATATATCACTGTAGCCAATTAGGCTTTTAGCTTAGCCTTTTTAATACGCAAATTCTCAATTATACATTGGTATGCTGTTTTGTTTGATCAGGCATTACAAATGGCTACCCGTGGGGTCCTGGACTGAACTAGATAGACATATTGAACTTTTCATGACACCGGATCATTCCAGCCCAACTTTACTTCTTATTACCACCCAACATTTGGCAGGCACAGCTTGATTTTTATCTGGATTCTCACAAAGAGAATTCTAAATTTAGTTTCTTGTTTTCAAGCTTGCCAAAGGGAATACCTGATCTCACTCACCCTGTCGAACACAAAAAAACACACAGACGTCAGACACACACATGGGTTTACACAGGTGCTACAAACAAATGACTTAGACAAATAAGCGAGTCTCCAACAAGATTGTTTTCAGCTCTGCATTCACTTCACAGCCCAGTGTAAACGTAAGGATGCATTACAGTCAAATCTACCCAGTCTGGAAATATGAAAATGTGAATTATTAATGTTGTTACAATATCTGAAACTGTGCATATCTCCGCTTTCAATTTTGTGGATGAACCAGAGTATGAAAAATATTAACAAAAGGGAGATGAGCACAAAGTAGACTGAATACAAAGCCAAGGGACAAAATAAAGCTGAAAGTGTATGTTATTGTGCGTCAGAGTGAATGAATATCTTTGATTTCAGCAGTCAACACAGGTGAGCATGTCCTCACTCTTGCCAGCTTTTTTGGAAACCAAATTCTCCTGGCCATGTCTAAGTCATTATGCATGCAAATCTGCCAGAGGATTTTCCATTGCTTCTAGAGATTTACATGGCCGCTGACAGACTGAGACAATATTAAAGGAGAGCTCAGAGGGGATCTACTATAGATTTTTCTTTTTTTATGTGATGAAATTAGGATAAAGGTTAGATAGGTGATTCGTTTGCAGTTTAGACACTTTGTTGTGTCCAAAAATAGAAAGAAAAAAGTGGTCAAAAAAGGGACATTCATCTGTTCCCTCGTCAAATGTTGTGTTCAAACCATAACCTGTGGTAGGAAGTTTAAATACCACTTTTCCACTGGCCGCCCATGACCATCACTCATCTTTTCCTGTAAAAAAAAAAAAAAAAAAAAAAAAACCTTTGGTGTGGCAACCCCTGATCCCACAGTATTCAAAATCGCAGCTCATTAAACCAAATAGACACACGCAAAATCAAACATAGAAATGATTATTGAACTGATTTCGGGCACCCTCAGATCAAGACGACAGTGGGAGAAGTAGTTGGAAACCAAAAAAAATGTGTGAAAAAAAAATGTGTGTTTGTAAATTTCTAAAACAGACCAAGCACACTTCAGCATTATTAAGCACTAAAGCATTGTATAAAAATAAGATTGTTGTTTTAAATGATTAAACAATAAAACTGTTCAAAATGATGAAGTATGATGAAGACACTTTCTGGATGTCAAACATTGGTGGATCATGTTCACAGTTAATGTGATGAAGGTGTGAACTTAAAGAGATATTTCACCCAAAAAATTAAAACTCTGTCATAATTTACTCACCCTCATGTCATTCCAAACCTGTTAGACTTTCATTCATCTTCGAAACACAAATGAATATCTTTTTGATGAAATCTGAGAGATTTCAGTCTCTCCATTGACGGTCTATGCAACTACCACTTTGACGCTTCAAAAAAGTTCATAAAGAGATTGGAAAACTAATCCATATGAATTGAGCGGTTTAGTCCAAATTTTCTGAAGAGACTGTTACGTTCCGGCGCCTGACGTGCAAGAAAGAACCAATGAGGTTTATTCTCGTGTTACGCAGCACGTTTCAGCTTCTGCAAGAACCAATGAGGTTAATTCTCATTTTACGCAGAACGTTTAATGTTTAAACCAATGTGGTTTGTTCTCGCGCGTCAAGCAGGTTCAGTTGAGCTTCTGTTTATGTTCACTGATATGTGAATAAAAGCCTAAATTAAATCTGTTCATCATATAAAGCGATCGAGTCCCTTCAGAAAATTTGGACTAAACCACTCAATATATATGGATTAGTTTTACGATCTCTATGAACTTTTAGAACGTCAAAGTGTCAGTTGCATAGACTGTCAATGGAGGGACAGTATAAGCTCTGGGATTTCATCAAAAAGATCTTTATTTGTGTTCCGAAGATGAATATGGGTTTGGAACGACATGAGGGCGAGTAATTGACCGAATTTTCATTTTTGGGTGAACTAGCTGACTACATACATCTACTAAAATCACACTGAATCCACTTGGTTTCAAATCATCGCAAAAATGGCTTGATTTACGAAAAAAAGCTGCAGCATCATTTGTTTGCAGATGCCTCTTGGTTTGGTGTTTTGTGTCTAATGCAATGACTTTCAGAAGTACTTCTCAAGCATCCAAATACTTTTTGGCATAACTGTGTGTGATATGATATTTGAGATGTCTTACGTTTTGTAGGTTTGACTATGGGGGAATGATGGAAAATTGAGCAGGACATCCTGTATCCCGGTATCATTGACAGGATTAGATCATAAACAGGCAAATACTTCAATTTAGGTCTATTTCAACCACATGCTATTTGATTATGGCAGGATTTCCATTCTGTGATTTCAATATTGTGGATAAATGTGGTGATGACCTAATGGAGACCCACCTGGACCATCACACAGGCAGGTGTTGATGTGGTACCAACCAGATCCAGCGATGGGCAAGTTCAAACGTATGCGCTATAACACTACTAAGTGTTAGTTTGAGCATAATTCAACTTATTTGAAACATTACCCAATGTTGAAATAAAAATGTATGGATTACATTAATGAGCTCTTTGGGACCAATACGTCAGCCGTTGAAATTTGCAGTCACATGCAGAGAATATTATGTGGATGAATTCTTAGTGGCTATTCAGCACAAATCTACAGTAAACTGCTCTTTCCCACGTGTGTCACCCTGTGTTACTTTTGCATGGCAGGTTTCAAGACAATCAGTCAGTCAATCAATCAATCAATCAATCAATCAATCAATCAATCAATCAATCAGAAATGTTACATCTTGAAGTATTAAAATGCATTAATTGCACCTGACTTTTTAGATACAGATACTGAATATGTATTATTTGCATATTTCAATATACTATTTAAAATATTAATATTTTATATATTTAATACATTAAAAACATTATTTATTACTATTGACATTTACTGTACGTAATGCAAAAGAAGCTTCAAACATCAACAATAACAACTTTTTTTTTTTAAAGTACACATTACTTCTGGGAGAGCTTATATCTCCGCCTTAGTTCACTTAAAATTGTAAATTATGTCATTATTTACCTTTGTGTCGTTCCAAACCTGTATGACTTCCTTTCTTCTGTGGAATGTAAAAGACATTTTTTTAAGGATATCTCTTCTTTGTAATTTAGCAACTGCATCACACCATCCAACATTTCCACCTTGAATTTCCCCTGCCTCATCTAGATGCTTAAAGATATTTAATGTCATTTTCAGTATTTGATCAATTTATTATTTGAAAAAAAAAGTGCCTCACAGCTAAATGCTGAGAAACACTGTGTTGTTGTTGTTGTTTTTCACAGATTTACAAATGAAAGCAGGTATCAACATAATGATGCTTTCTCATAAGCATCACTATTTTACTTGCATTATCTCATAAACCAAAGTTATTTTTTCCTCCGTGGTGAAGATGTTTTCTACATGACCTTACAGACTGAGGAGGTGACCCTGCCCAAAGCTTTGCATGCTGATTTCCATGTGTTCCATTCATGCCGGTAAATGTGTTTAGACCCTCCAGAGCCAGAAAGAGTCAGAGAGTGAAGGAGACTCCATGCAGAGGACACTGCTGACAGAGATGGCCATAAAGTGAGTCCCTGCTTATTAATGATATTTTTAAAAGATATTCAAGACTGCTTCGCCTGAATTTACTGGTCACGAGGAATTTCAGATTCGAAGGATTTGAAGTTATGAATCATTTTGGCAGAATGCAGTTGGTTTGAAATGCTATAGGTGTTTTGTAATCAATATATTTGAAATCTGTATCACAATCAGCTTCACCAGTGAAGGATCTCCATGTAATTTTCAAGGGTAGATTTTGTTGCTTTCCTCAGGAACCTGTTGATGATGTTGACTCCTGGGGCGAGTCCATCGAGAAGCTTCTGTCCTGCAAAGGTGAGAAAATTCAGTTCTGAATATAGTGGATAGAATATCCTGCACCAGAGATCCATTAAAGAAAAATCTTAGATATTACTCTTAAATATAGGTTTTGATTTGTTCTTTATCGGCAATAAAAAGTGTTCACATTTGTTTTTAATTGTTATAAATAAGACATAAAATAGAGCTATATGAAAAATATTTAGAACTACCTGATAATGATTTATATAGGTAATATATTTAGAGAATCATTTGTAGATTTATTATTTTTGGTTTATTGTCTGTATGGAAAGCATAAGAGGATCCTTGATGATTATTATGCAGTTGATGCAAATAAATAAAGAGTCAGTCGATTGTAAAGACTAGTCAAATTATGTTTGACTGAAGTCAGTGGTTCATGTTGAAGTGAAGGCATCTCAATCTCATTCCTGTATAAAGATGAATCAAATAATTGTATCTTATATGAAATTTAGCTCCTTGGATTATATTCAAATGTTCAAACTTTTCAAATTTCAGTTTCGTCATATAAATTGGAGAACGAATACTTAACTATTTTCCATAATAAATTCTAACAATGGTATCATGCTGCAGCGGGACAGATGGCTTTCCAGGACTTCTTGAAGTCGGAATACAGTGAGGAAAATATTCTGTTCTGGCTGGCATGTGAGGAATACAAAAAGATCACGAGTGTACCAGAGATGATCAGCATGGCAAACCAAATCTACACTGAGTTTGTGCAAACGGAATCACCTAGACAGGTGAATTACAGCCCTCTGACTGAACTGTGCTGAGCTCTTGTAATGTCCTACTGAAGAAATCTATTAGTAGGTCCTGCTGCTCAAAAGTTAGTTAGCAAGTCCTTTGCTGCAAGTATCACTTTCATCCTTTGGGGTTGAAAGAATTCAGCATTTAAAAGACAGCAATCAGATATTAGTTTAGTCTTAAAGGGATAGTTCACCCAAAAATGAAACTTCTGTCATCCTTTACTCCCCCTCAAGTTGTTCTAAACCCATGTGAGTTTCTTTCTTCAGTTGAACACAAAAGAAGATATTTTGAAGAATGTTGGTAATCAAACAGTAGCTGGACCCCACTGACTTCCATAGTATAGGTGGAAGTCAATGCATGGGGACCAGAAACTGTTTGGTATGCTTCAGGTTTCATTATTTTGTGATCAACAGAAGAAAGAAACTCATGCAGGTTTAGAACAACTTGAGGGAGAGTAAATGATGACAGAATTTTTATTTTTGGGTGAACTATCCCTTTAATTACATACTCCCTTAAAAAGTAACTAATTGTTTTACTTAGTTACTTTTTATGAAAAGTAATGCATTACTATCCCTTTAATTGGATAAGTCCCATTATACCCACAACCAGAGTTGGTGTAAAGTTACTTTTAAAAGTAATGCGTTACAATATTGCATTACTCCATTAAAAAGTAACGAATTGTGTTACTTAGTTACTTTTTATGGAAAGTAATACGTTACAATCCCTTTAATTAAATAAGTCCCATTATATCCACAACCAGAGTGGGTGTAAAGTTACTTTAAAAAGTAATGAGTAACACTATTGCGTTACTCCCTTAAAATGTAACTAATTGCATTACTTAGTTACTTTTTATGGAAAGTAATGCGTTACTCTCCCTTTAATTACATAAGTCCCATTATATCCACAACTAGTGTTGGGGAAAGTTACTTTTCAAAGTATGACGTTACAATATTGCATTACTCCAAAAAGTAACTAATTGTGTTACTTAGTTACTTTTTATGGAAAGTAATACAATACTATTTTTTTAATTACATAAGTCCCATTATATCCAAAACCAGAGTTGGTATAATGTTACTTTTAAAAGTAATGTGGTACAATATTGTGTTACTCCCTTAAAAAGTAACTAATTGTGTTACTTAGTTACTTGTTATGGAAAGTAATACGTTACTATCCCTTTAATTACATAAGTCCCTATATATCCACAACCAGAATTGGTTTAAAGTTACGTTTAAAAGTAATGCGTTACAATATTGCGTTATTTAGTTCGCACACTGCAAACAACGCCTCTGTATTTACTCCTGATTTCTCTGTCATTCAATAAATTGGAAAGCAAAGTAATTTGCGTTACTTATTTGAAAAAGCAACTCAGATATTTTATTGTAAATTATAACAGTAATGCGTTACTAGTTTCTTGAAAAAAGTAAGCTGATTACGCAACTCACGTTACTTGTAATGCATTATCCCAACACTGTCCACAGCAATAATTTTTTTTTTTTTTTTAAATCACACATTTTAATTTGATCCATTAACATTCTCAAATAATGATGAAACATTTTTAGCCCCACCCTGACATCCCAAACTCCAGCTATGTCTTTGAGATGGCTAAAATACACAATCATTTATTTGTTTGTTTGCTTGCTTGTCTGTTTAGTTATTTAATTAGATATGTTTTATTTATTCATTCATTCCCTTCGGTCACTCATTTTAATTTTTTAAGAAAAAAGAAAGAGGGAGAAAAAAAAAAGAAAAAATGTATTGCCGTTATTTTCAGGTCAACATTGATTCCGGGACTCGCACAAATATTACAAACAACATCTCGGAGCCGACCCTGAGCTCATTTGATACTGCACAGAAGATGATCTTCAGTCTAATGGCGAGAGACTGCTATCCCAGGTTTCTGAAGTCCGACATCTACCAGTGCATTCAGCAAAAGCATGGAAAGAGCTGATTTCATAATGACTAATGGTACATCGAGTTTAACTATTACCAGCAACATATTTTTTTTTTAATGATTTTATATTTGGTAAGCAAGACCTTTTTAGTTTTGGACTGCTCTGAAATAGCTCTATTTTCATCATGATGTTGCCATATAAGTTTTTTTTAAGGAAAAAGATGCTTACAGTGTCACATTAGGATCTATTCTGATTTCCATGCACTGTTGCCTTTTGTTTTATTTTTTTCTTTACAGAAAATCAAACCATTTAACTACATAATATTGTACAATAACAGAAAATCATGCATCACAAAAAATGTTAGGAATCATCCCATGTGGGATTCGGAGGATCTGTTGTGGCCTTGAACGAATTCAGTAATGTCCTGGTTATCAGCATACTGTTGAGAAATCGAAAATCATAACACATTGAGAATCTGAATGCTGCTTTCTTAACACAACTTGTACAGGCAATTTATCTACAATTCATTTATATAATAGTGCAACCTATCGGTCAGACATTTTTTCAAACAATTTAATTATTTTTATTATTAAACCTTATCCTCACCTCCCGTACCAATAACAAACCTTTTCCTCGTGGGTAAGAATGACCCGAAGCCCTAAAAATTATTTTTCTTAATTTTTTTTTTTGTCCAGAAAGCTTATATTTCATTTGTAAATTCTATTTTTAGTGCAGTTTTTTGGGAGATATTTAGTTATTTTTCATTTTCTGCATTGTAAATGTGTCCAAATCTAACCTTAAAAGTGTGTGTGTGTGTGTGTGTGTGTGTGTGTGTGTGTGTGTGTGTGTGTGTGTGTGTGTGTGTGTGTGTGTGTGTGTGTGTGTGTGTGTGTGTGTGTGTGTGTGTGTGTGTGTGTGTGTGTGTGTGTGTGTGTGTGTGTGTGTGTGTGTGTGTGTGTGTGTGTGTGTGTGTGTGTGTATTCCAAGTTACGAGTCTAAGTACAACAAATCTCCCAAGGTCTTAGACCACTCCGATGAACACTCAATTTTTAAAAATGAAAAGAAAATGAATGTCAGACCAAAATGACCTGAGGAGAGGATGATGATGTCAATATTTTTTGTTATTAAAATATATTTTGTTTAGGTTTTCTTATGATTGATGTTATGACCGTCAGGAGGAAATTTGTAAAATGAATTTAAAGAACCATTTAAATATGACCACTTTATAAAGGAACACCCTGGATTCCTTATAAAAAAAAGTGAAAATATATATAAAAATATATAAAAATTTAATAAATGAACATAAAACATGAAAAATTGTGTGAGTACTTTATATAGAATTTTTTTTAAATATTTTTTCATATTTGTATTATTTTCTCTTTGCAGTTTTGTGGACCATGAGTAGATGGAGTTTAGTTTGACAATGCGGAACAAAAGTTAATGGGTTTTCAAACAAATTATAACAACTAAGGTCCATTCTTGCCCAGAACCACCAATTTAGACAGAAAAAGCATCTGACGGACATGTAAAGTGACCAACCAGACCAACGTTCAGTGACGCTGATGATGTGTTATCTGGTGCGTCCGTGTATTCGGGTTCAAATAAATATGGCTGGGCAAAAAAATGCAAGTCTTCCTCTGTGTTGAAATCCTTAGACATGTTTGCGAAGATTGTTTTGTTTACAGCGTGCGTCTCCCTCAGACTGTAAACCTAGCTCTTTCGCACCAGATTACACGTCAGCAGCGTCTTACGTCAGCAGCGTCACTGAACGCGGATTGACAACAGAACCGGCAATACAATACAATGCTGAATAAAGTCGTAGTTTTTGTTATTTTTGGACCAAAATGTATTTTCGATGCTTCAAAAAATTCTAACTAACCCACTGATGTCACATGGACTACTTTGATGATGTCTTTATTTCTTTTCTGGACAAGGACAGTATACCGTAAATACATTTTCAATGGAGGGACAGAAAGCTCTCGGACTAATGGTGCGTTCACGTGCTATGGAAAATATGATTTTTTCCACTTGTGAACTGGTATTTACCAGTGTGTTGCGTTCAAGTGCTTTTGTTGTCGTAATGTGGTAAAAAGATGGAGATCCAGACCTGTTATTTAGCTAAAACTATTTTAGATTGCTTAAGTCATCTGCAGCAAGAAAATGATTTATCAAAACTCAAACGGTAAATAATATGCTGTATATTTTCTAGATCATGAATAGTACATATTTTTACCACTCACGACTCGCACTCACGTGTTGCTCTCCGCCATTTTGAAAAGGTTAAAGGTTATCTCATCTCGGCGACTCGCGCATCAAAATATTCTACGAGCTGCCCAGTGGAAAATACGACATGAGGGGGTGTTCATGTGCATTTTCCACGTCGGCTTTTGGTATTTACCATAATTACCATAGCATGTGAACGCACCATAAATCTAAAATATCTTAAACTGTGTTCCAAAGATGAACAGAGGTCTTACGGGCTTGGAACTACATGATGGTGAGTCATTAATGACATAATTTTCATTTTTAGGTAAACTAACCCATACAATATAGTAATTCACCTTTGTGGATGGCATGATAATAATTAATATACATCATTTTTTATCATTGAGTTCTTCCATCCCCGCAGGGAAGCTTTTCTGTACATGATTCATGGTCACAATCTTGTGTGGATAATACATTTCATGGACAGTTCATAATATAATTTATATGAATTGGTTTGAAACTATGCAGTCCCATTCACATTGCATTAGGACCTTAATGTAATATGCAAGTGTTCATAGATTTTACACAAGGGGGTCTAAATTACCTGGATAAAGCTGTCCGGGAGTGACATACGGTCAGTGAATAGTGGACTGTTGGAGGTCTGAGACTTAGGTTAGAGCAGCAATTAATTTTTTTATTTTACAAACTTATTGCATATACTTGACCACTTGGTGGCGACAGAGTACTACAATTAATCAGTCCTGTAACACAGCAACATCAAACTGAAATGAATCACACAAACTCTGATAATTCACTAAAGTCAGCATATAATATTTAAATAACCCGTTGTACCGGTTTACATGCAAACCAAATTCCAACTGAATACAGGTGTGTTTGCAAATTCGGCACAACACCTTTGGCACAAAACGGGTTACCACGTTTACGTGAACACGTGCATTGTCGGATTAAGAACGTGCTGCAAGTAGCATGTGGAGTTTTGGAGTTAAACTCTTAACAGGCGCATCCTATCATTCAAATTGTGTAAAATGTGGGTGGTTTGTTATATTTTCTTGGACTTTTAAAATTCTAGCACAAACATTTCAAGTGGAGAAGATGCCCTGTTGGAATGAAAGGCCTAGCTGGTTTTAGCACAAATAAAAATTAGCTTGTTCGTTTCACCCAATTAGAATCAGAATCAGATATCAGAAAGAGCTTTACTGCCAAGCTTGCAAACACGAGGAATTTACCTTGGTATTGAAGCTTCCAGAACACACATATTAAGGCACAAGAAAAATCTGCTATTCCCATTGTGTATGATAGCAGAAAAATTTAGCTATGTTTGTATTGAACATTGGCGGAGCTGGAGCAACAGATTTTGTGTAAAAAAAAAAAAAAATCATAAAAGTGGTTTATTTTGTTTTAAAAATAGTATAAATGTATGAGGTGGCAATTGGCCTTTTGCCGCACACACGGGTTTGTTCAAAACAATAACTAGCAAATTTTGTACTATTTTCTGTTTATTTTGATAAATAAAATTATTCATTTTTGTTCAATAAACATACTGTCATAAAAATATGTTACTTAAAAAATATATTTAAAAATACTGAAACAAATTGATTTTAAAAGTAAAGATTCTGAAAGCATTGAAGGAGATCCCATAATAATTTAAAATAGGCTAGCTTTACAGTAGTGACAATAAATTATATTATCTGATTAATACTATATAAAAATATGATAGTTTTTTTCATTTAAGGTTAGCTTTTGTTGGCTATGGTTTGCGTGCGTTTTGAGGCGCTGTACTAAGCCCATCTTATGGTGAAAATCAAGCTTTTAATGTTGTTTTATGTCTATGTGGTGTTTTTATGCTTTAAGACAAACCATGTACAAGTCAACAACACCATTGCTGAGTATTTCTCCTTAAAACTGCAGTGAACCAAAGACGCGGAAATCGCTGGTGTTTCTGACGTCACAAACTACCTTGTAACCAATCACGTCAACGTGTGATCGTCAACGAGTGGATCTCTGAGCTGGTGTGAGTGAGTGGAGGCGGGGCTAATATGCATCTTCATAGAACAGTGTATACTAAATGTGGCTAGGGTGTAGAGTTAAGCTTTAAAGCATGAAGAATTATTTTTTCAAGGAAAAAACTTTTAAATATGTCATTTTGGTGATCAAAGAGGAGTTTTAGGGATTACAATTATTGACTACAGGGGGACTTTAAAGAAATGTGATTAATTTGAAGGTTTTAAAATGTAGTCTTGTTTAAAGTCCCACTCCGATCATATTTTGAGCTATTTTTAAACATTCCCAGTGGTCTTTAAATTATGATTATGCCATTTTTAGCCAAAATCACAAAACCTGTGCCGTTTTCTGGGACTTCGCTTCAGCAGAGCGGCAGTAGCTCATTAGCAATTCGCCTCTGCGTTGTGGGCGGAGCCGTTGGCACGGAGACGCCCCTCCCCCTGCGCGTTGCTGAGAGCTCTGTCTCTCCCGCTAGCTTACACCCCCAATACCGGTGGGGCAACAGTATTATATACACGTTAATTATTATTATCCGAAGTTAATCAAAGTTATCACCGATCACCGATCATTATTTCACTCCAAGACGTCGCGTGTGGAGACGCCCAGTGGAGTTACTACGTCACAACTCCAGTCTATTTTAGCCGGCATTTTAGCATCTGCTACTGATTCACAGCCATTTGAATGTAGAAATACTCAGAAATCCAACTTTGAGCTTATTTTTCTCAAGATATGTACTCTAACATCAGAAAAATGCCACAAGAACATGTTAACACCTAGAAAAACATTATTTTCATCGGAGTGGGTCTTTAACATTATGAAATCCTCTGAAACGAGTTTGCAGCAGAAGTCACGAACAGAGCGAAATGTTATTATTTCTTGGTAAATAGATGAGTAAACTGCATTTAATAAATGCAACTGAACATGTCATTGATATGACCATTGAATACAATAGAGTCAAAACATTAATGCCACGATTTTAATATTCATAAATAGGAATACGTACAAATTTGTACATCTGTAAAGTTGTTCATCCGGAAATATTTTACATATTTATGAATATTTTTAGTGCTGTCAATAAGTTAATATTACATTTCAATTAAATGTATGTGAGGTAGAACTACACTTTATGTAAAAATACACACGTATTTTCATGAGATCACATGGATCTTTCAGTAAGGCTTTCAGTAAGTGC